GATTATATCGCTCATATTAGGTAAAGGAAACGCGTCTAACTGAGTAAATTTATTGATGGTCTGTGAATAATCGATTACAAACCTTCGTTTCCCATTTTCACCCTTTACGACGACAACTTGAGCTCTCCACGGAGATCTGCTAGGCGTTACAATTCCTTCCTGTAACAAACGGTTGACCTCCATTTCAATAAACTTTCTGTCATCTTTGGAATACCAACGAGACTTTGTAGCAATAGGATGGCAGTCAGCAGTCAGATTTTTGAATGGTTCTGGTGGCAAACTTTTGAAAGTTGAAAAGCCACATACAGACATTGGAGGTCGATCGCCGCCGTAATTATAAGTTACACTTTGATGTTGTCCTTGAAAGTCTATTCCAAGTAAAATGTCACAACATAGATCATCCATTACTCTCAATATGAATTTTGATAGTGTCGGCCCTGATATTCAATATCAGCTGCTGTGCAACCTTTTATAGGCATGGAACACGCCAGAGAAGCCATTGCTACCTTGTCCTTAACTGTGTCCCTTTTGATTGGGAGGTTACACCTTTCTATGAGACGAGGGTGTATGAAACTCTGACTACTGCAACTATCAAAAAGTGCGCGTACTTTGTGTCCTTCAATATGAATCACAGACGACGACCCTCTCAATGATTTGGGGTATTGTCAAAAGCCATTCCTAATATATACGAGTTAGAACATGCAGTGACTTCGTCAGGATTTTGTGGGTTGAAAACGGTTCCTCTGCAGACTTTTATGAAATGTCCTTTTTATGACACTTGAAACAAAACACATTTCGGGCTGGACATTTTGAACGAGGATGTTTCTTTCCGCCACAGAAAAAGCACGCGGAATTTGCAGTAGCAGATATTTTCTCGATATCACACGATGTCTCATCGTTTGAGTTTCACTGTTTTGAGCAGCCGCAGACACAGTAGAAGATCGGATACTCGATAAGCTTCAGCATTCTTAATTGCTACTTCTAAGCTTCTGGCTTGATCGTATGTCGTATTAAGATCAAGGTGTTTGTTTTCCAACAAACGCTGTCGTATCCATGTGGAGTTTAACCCCGGAAAAGCGTCTCGGACATAAGCATCTCGGTTTTGAACAGCAGATACAGCTTTGAAATTACAATGTTTGCTTAACGATTTCAATGCTTGCATGTATTCGTCTACATTTTCAGATGCTTGTTGGTTCCTGGTTGCCAGAACATGCCGAGAATAAACTTCATTGAGAGGTTTGACAAACATTGTTTTCAGAATCTCAATCGCAGTATCGTACGATTCTGCCTCCTCAATGTTTTGGAAATACGAGAGATATGAAATTCACCAGTACACCTAGTTTAATCAAGGGCCTTCAGACGGCGAAGCGTTTTAAAAAATTATCGAAGGTCTTCTTCTCCAGTGCAGCCACTCACAGGGCTGCTTCACTAGAGTTAGGATCTACCTCCAGTCCTCTGGTCATCAGACCTTGTCCATTGCTTGTACCAGAATACTCTTGTGAAATGATTAAGTTGAATAAATTGTAATGAATGAGAAATATAGTACCTTGATATAAGGCTTTACTCAACTTAAATTTAAAGCACTCTTAGAATGAATCTAAAGTAAAATATAACACAAGTAAATGTTATTAAACAAGTAAACAAATACGTATCGAATTGCTAATGCTAACAGTAAGCGGCTCAATAGTTAAATGAATAAAGTTGAAAGAATTAACACACTACATCTACAGCACAGCAATGATTGGTGTCTGATTTAAAACGCCACAGCAATTATCGCTGGGCTGCAGCTGTATAAACAATTAGATACATTGAGTTGCATTTACAAGTTATCACAAAACCCCATCGGGAAATCAACATTGTGGTCAAACCCCAATTTGAGGGACGGACGACAAAACGTAACGTCTTTTTACGCAAAGAAAATGGTTGGTTAAATACAAATCATAAAAGAAAACGTATGTGTGAGTTTTTTTTAATTATCGGGTTAAGAGTACACGAAAAATTGATTACTACACGCGATGACTGTTAACAATCAAAATTCATTCAAACAGTTGACTTTAAAATGGTGTACCGATTAACTCAGTGGTCTCAACAATATTTTAACATGGATTTAATTTTCAAAGACGAATTTTTCTCGTAGTAAAAAATGCTAAGCCCTTCGTTCAAAAGGTATTTCCCATATTTATTCCTTACGCTTTGAACCAAATCAGTTATTTCTCGACAAAAATCAGCATAAATCTTTATAGAATAATATGCAATTCAAGAGTCCTGCTGCACACTTACACAAATATATTTCTGTAACGTTTCGTCTGACCAAAATCAGACTTCCTCAGACAAGCAGTTTACAACAATGACAAGAAAAAAGCAATCATGCAGTTTAAATATGGCGATAAATAAATTTGTTTGAAACTAATTGTGACCAAACAATGAAAAAACAATTATTGATATTCAGAAACAGATTGCGAAATAAAAAAATGCGATCGGTTCTCAGCATGGAATAATTGTTCCGCGGCGTGCTTGATTTCACAATAAGTTTCACTAGAACATTTATCAATGTGTTCTAGGCTCAGATCTTGATAGCCAGGGTCCTTGTAATGTGATTGGATTGGGAGTTAGTCTCGCGCAACCTCTACTGATCGTTATATTAGCCTTTTCGCGTGACTTCTGTATCCGAATGGATCCTGCCAAACTCCGGACTCGACAACTACCACAAGAAAATCATTGTTGTAAACTGCTTGTCTGAGGAAGTCTGATTTTGGTCAGACGAAACGTTACAGAAATATATTTGTGTTAGTGTGCAGCAGGACTCTTGAATTGCATATTATGGTATTTTATCAATCAATCAATCAATCGTTTATTTTGTCATCACAAAAAAAACACGTTCAAACATAAAGTGACATAATGAATAAATTACAGTACTAATCATGTTTTTGCGTGACCGGAGTCGCGAGGGACCTAAGAAGGTCTTCAAGCAGCGACACCTACAGCGCTACAGGTTAGAATAAATATAATTAAATGAGGGATAAAATGAATAAATCCTAGGAATAAGTCACAACTGATACAATTACAGCGACATTCGAAATGTATGCGATTATGACACAGTAAAACAGAAAATGTAACTTTCACGGAATAATTACTAACAACTAATAAAAACGCGAGGAAAGCAAGATAAAAGCACAGAAAAAATATAGGAAGGTAAGTTTGGCGGAATATGCAACTAAAAGCAATATAAGGCAAACAGTAAATCGAAAATATTTACAGCAAATGCAATTTAGGAGACACTTACGAAAAATATTGATAAGGTCTAATGAGGAATACAAACAAACTATTACATCTATATAATGTACATAATAAAGAGGAAAAGATAAAACGGCCTGGTCATTGAAAATAATAGCGAACGTAGGTTAAGGGCAATAAGCTATCGCTCTCCACTCTGAACGATTTTTGAATCAACTATTAATGTAGCAGATACTCTCGGATTCCGACTCCTTGCACCTATTTTCGTTCGGGTTGATTGACGTTAGCCAGTGTCAAAGCGTATATATAATACAAGCGAGGCAACGCTCTGACAATGGACGCCATCTTGGCCTATTGTTCTCGACCATATAACACGGCGCCTTATGGGAAGTTCTCACACAATTATTGAAACATACATAATATTTTCATTAATATTTTAGATAGAAAGATTTTGAAGGTCGCATTTTGAAGTAGAAGCTTAGGCGAACATGATGATATACTTTGCTAAATTACATTTATAGTACATTAAATTGTCTTTAAATACAAGTATGCCGGTTTCGAGTTGCTTCCGAAGTAAGTTGGCCATTCTCATCGTCATAATTGACCATTTGACAATAGCGTTCTTTGTGATGTCACAGATGGACAGTTGTATTTATTCGTCGAAATTACCTCGGGACTCAAATTCGCTTCAATGGCCGTTTCCATTTTCGGGTCAACATTTTCTCGCCTGTCAAGCTCCTTAATGCCCGCCTGCTCAGCTCCGAGCTGCGCTAGAAGACCAAATGACATTGTAGGATTGTTGCGGTGGCATTATACTCCGTCAAATCGGCGTATCACTCTAAAAGGTTTCCAAAAAGATGACCAAAAATGGTTCTACGTTGTGTTTGTGGCCAAATTTAACGCATTAGATAGTTTTTTATTTTTCATTGCGTTATATATTTAAGTAGCATATAGCTTAAAGTTCAAAATCCACCCTTCGGCTTTATCTCATCTCGAGATCCTTGTTCTTGTTGAAAACCCGGTATATTACCCGGAGTTTGTGATATAAAAAGTAGTCAGAAGGATATTAGATACCCATTTATGACAACCGATACCCGCACTCCTTCGCGAATTAATATAGCCCAAGGCAAAAGCCCAACATTTTACGACTGACACGTTTCTGGTAGTGGTCGTATTTACCGGCAACCGGCAGTTCATTAATAAATGTAGTTTTTTGATTTGGACGTTTTCGTGTTGTTAAATGTAACTGAATATACAATAATTTTGATTTGGTTAAAAATATTTAGCTTAGCATCTTCGAAATTTACGATATCTTTTGAATATTGAATTTGGTTATTGCCCTAGCGCATGCTCCTGTCATCACATTTTTCAGTCTTCAATTTGCATTGGCATTTCGCATACTAGCACAGGAAATGTCGTGTTGATTTCTGTCGAATGGCTCATGTCGTATCATTGTTTGTCGGGAATAACCCACGGTGTACGGCACGTAGACCAAAGTAGTCATACTACTGTATCATTTCATTAACTGGAATTACTTGTATTATAGTTGACGGCTTAAGAGTAAAGAACAGGAAATTGCGCTAACCGGCAATTCTGTAATTTGTACAGTCAGACAGTTCAGCAGTTGTAATAGTTCGTTCGTTTTCAGTTTAAAGTTTTAGACTATACCGGTATGTGCTAGTTACAGAGTTGCTAAGTTATTACAGTCTTAAGTTACCGTACGAGTAATATCGTGATACTGTTTAATACAGTATTAGTATTCATTTTCAAAGCAGAGACTACTTCAAATCAATTGTAAATTTCTGTAAAGTTTTCATCAGTTGTGTGGCGCAAAAATATAATCAAGATGCTGCCAATGACAAATAAAGACGGAGAGTTCAAGCCGGAAATAAAAGCTTGGGGCAAAATAAAAGGATGGATAAGGTGAAATAAATAAATTACACACTAAAAAATTACTTTATTTATGATCATGTGATTTAACCGAACAACACGGCAATCCCAAATAAAGAATAGCATTTTTTATATTTTTAGAAACCCTTTTATTACTCTCAATTTGTTGTTTGATTTGAGCTTTCTAAAAATTAATCCTTCAATAAATTAAGTTTTAAAAGTTATTGGGATCATGTCTCATACATTAATATATTTTTTTGACAGGAACATCATAAAAGATCCAAATTCAAGAAATCTATTATTCTTTCTTCTATTGAATTTATCGTTTGCTTTTGTGGAATTATTCTGGGGGATATGGAGTAACAGGTAATCTCTTTCTTTCACTGAAAACCCATGTTTTGACAACTTTGAACAAAAATTCTAAGCGTCTTTCAAAAATGCTCTATTGAATTTCCTCATTACAGCTTGCTCAATCTTGTAAAATTCGAATTATATGAATAAAATGTCTATTTCAATTTTAGACATTAATCAATGGCATTTATGATTCTTTAAATTAAGTTGAAAAACTAAAATCAAAAGGTAGACCCACATCTTTTGATCAGTTACTATTCCATAATACGTTTTCATTTGGTATACTTTGGCACAAAAATAATTATTAATTTTTCATCTTAATTTTTCTACATTTTATATTTCAGCCTTGGTTTAATATCAGATTCATTTCACATGTTTTTTGATTGTACTGCGTTACTTGCTGGTCTTGCGGCATCCGTTGTTTCTAAATGGAAGGCAAATGAAAGGTTTTCTTATGGGTAGGTAATGAGTTTTAATTTTAAGCTATCAGTTCTGTAACAAATTTGCAAATTGAAGATTGTTTCACCTAAATTAATTAATGAAACTTAGTGATGATTGATTAGTTTCACTGTTTTAATATTGTTTTTTTCATGCATTACATTGTCAGCAATGCTTTTTCGAGACTGAGCAAAATATAGACCAAGCTAAGCTGTATGCTTCTCTTTAATGACTCGTATTAATTGAAAAAATGTCAATTCAGAAACAAACGATCACAGTGGTTTGTATTCTGATTCCATGTGTGGAAGTTTACAGCAAAAATTAAGCGTTCATTTCTGAATACTGCAACTTTATTTGTTAGAGCATTATCACTTATAGTTATTTCAGAATTATGTAGATTCATATTTTTTATTTCATCAATTTACATTTGCTCATGTCTCATTATCATGCTTTTAAGTAGTATGTATGAACAATCATATTAATTAGCAATACAAATATATAAAATTAAAAATACTTTTTTTCATTATCATTTGTTTTATGAATTATCATATAAATATGCTCTTTTCAAGTGCACAATTTGCTTAATATTATGCAAGCTGAAGTTTTTGTATATTTAATCAATGTTTGTACACATATGTGTACTGGTATATGTTTAAATGGGAATCCCTAATTCTGTGTTTATTTTCATTAGATATGTTCGTGCAGAAGTACTCGCTGGTTTCATCAATGCTTTATTTCTTCTTTTCATCTCATTTTTCATATTTTCTGAGTCAATTGAGGTTAGTTTTATCATTGTTTGTGTTAGAATTAGAAGATTGTCTTTAGAGTTCATTTTGAAATCGGAATTTTTATTGATGTGTTTGAAGTTTTGAATCACAGTTAAAATATCTACAAACTGGTATATAACTTACAAAACCTTGGAAAGGAGCCAATGTTTACAATGATTCTTTAAAATCTTATAAAGAGAAAAAATTTTCAAGTGTCTGCACAAATTTTATTTGCTAAATCATCATTAGCTTATTGCTCATTGGTCACTGTAATGAAAATAAACGAGGAAGTTGATGTTTGGGTAACATCCATTTCAGACACAGTTATATGTGCTCTTGCTTTCATCAATGTAGTTATTTTGGCAACGGTGCAATTTATATATAGTATGCAAATAAAACTTGATAAAATGGAAAATTATTAAAAAAAAATTTTTTCTACAGAGGTTAGTTGAACCCCCCGAAGTGAAGCATGAAAGATTATTACTTGTGTCTGTTCTCGGATTTTTTGTGAACATGGTTGGAATATTTGTTTTCCATGGACATGGACATCATGGTCATTCCCATGGTGGACATGATCATGGCCATGGACATTCACATGGTGGTAAGCTTAAAATTAGTTCTACTTGAAACGTGGCACATCGTGCTAAACGTTAGGAATATGGATTACCCTGAGTGAGTTAAGAGTGTGTACTGTGTAGTTTAGAATTCTGCGAGGGAAGAGTGTGTTCGGGAGGATTGTTGAACTCCTCACCGCCCATTGGCCATTCCATCAAGCCCACGCATCTGAAACAAATAACTGTCTAACTAATTCATACCCGATATGGACCGGTTCACAAACTATTTCAATAAATTCTTTTTGTCCATTTTGAAACTCTTTACCCCCCCCCCCCCCCCTCTTATTATGCATTTGCTGTTCATTCATTTATTAGCTAGTGATATGCGTAACTTGCACTAAGGCTTTTGGACAGTTTTGTATTGTGGGCATAAATATGTATTTCAATACTACTAAATGCAGCAATATTAGTTACACTACTACATGCTAATACAAATCTCTGAAAACAGTTTTCTTCACTTAGAAGAATTTCCCCCTTGGTTGGGAAACTGGCTAGGAGGATAGGCTAATAAAAAATATACAAGTAACAATGTAACGCAGTACTAGGGTCCAGTACAGTCTTGATATAAACAACATCACTGGGCATTGTTCAATGTGAGATGCATTTCATGTGTATCACGTTAATTGCAGACAATAATCAACACAAGCATTACTCCTTGTTTTTGATATTGGTTTAAATCAATTGCATCATATTTTAACATATTATTAAATTATTAATCTTTTTTGTAATTTCAAGATAATTTTTTTTTACTTGGCTATTTTTATTTATTCAGTCATTGAGCATCTGTATGTTTACTATATTTAATCTATTTTTTTAGGTCATAGCCATGGTGGTCACAATCATGGACATGGGCACGATCATGACCAAGGACACGACCACTCCCATAGTCACGGACATGATCATGACCACTCTCACGCACATGACCATTCTCACGACCATGGACATGGTCATGGTGACCATCACGGCCACTCACATGGGCATGTACATCATGACCATTCGCCAGAAGCTTCTCAACATCAGATTTTACACAGTAAGCTATTTTTCCTAATGATCGAGTGAGACTTTGCCATATTTAAGCTCGCGACCCCTTACAGTATATGTAAATTCTCTATGACCCCTGTTCACGTTTAAAATGCTAAACAGTTCGACGCAAGCGTGTTGCTTCTCGGGTTATGCGATCAAAGTCGGGCATTATTATGCAAGCGAATCCTTATTGGATCCTGTGTATTCGCTCAAAATCGTGAGATTTTAATAGGTTTTAATAATTGTGTTTTGAATCTAAAGCAAAAAAGTACAATAGATAAAGTAGTTTGTATGAAATTGGTGTACTCTAAAATTCGTTGCGTGTCCTGCCGCAGGTCGGAACCCCCAGTTTGGGAGGCCCTGATCTAAAATAATGATTCCCAGTGCATTCTCAAAAAATTCAGAATCATTGCAAAATTAAATTGTAGTTTGCAAAAGATAGGTTTGATATAATTTGGTGCAAGTCATCTGGCTAATATCTGGTCATGGATTATTACTGTTCCGACATCTTGCTTGATAGAAAACACATTTTCATCTGTGACACTGTTACCATCAGAAAAGAAATTGCCTTGGGTGATGATATACTGATAGGGACTATCCATCGCATTTCTAGAATAATATGATTCTCCTTCTGTTGCCAGTGATTTCAATTCAAACCAATCCACTAACTGATCTCAATTCATTATTTTTCAGGTGTTTTTCTACATATCATGGCTGACACTCTCGGCAGTGTCGGAGTTATCGTGTCTGCACTTTTAGTTAAATATTTTGATCTTATGATTGCCGATCCTATTTGTTCAATGATGATAGCAATCCTTATCGCGGTCAGCGTCTTCCCGCTTCTGCAAGAATCAGTTGGAATTTTAATGCAAAGAACACCGTTGTCTCTTGATCATCAATTGCCTGGGTGCTACCAGAAGGTATACTTGCTATACTTGTACAGTCTGGGGAAATTTATAATCGATCAACACTATTGACTCTGGGTTGAAAAAAATTTTGATTTTGTTTCAGACTCAAGAAGTTATAATTTCGTTTTCTGATTCTAATTTGTAAAGAATTTCCACTCTCATTTGTAGCTCCAAACCCCAAAAAATCAAATTTTGATACAAAAACTTTGGTGTATGCAAGCCTTATGTAATTTATAGACTGTTGAGAACCCCTAATGAAATTACTGGTAGCCTATGTAACTAACACTGAAATATGATTAGGTACCAACTACCAAGCTTGTAAAATCAAACCGAGGACAGCTGTAAGTACGTACACCTGACAAAATAAAAACTGGACGAATTTGGGTGACCTTTATAGGGCTCAGTTGTTTCGAAACAAAAAAAAGAAATAGCCTTAGTATCGAAAATTGAAATTTATTGGTGAATCAGTTAAGGGAGAAAATTAATTTTTATCAATCAATTAGACAACTATAACACTAAAACAACAACAATTTAGCGAAACGATCCATATGGTCACTGTGAGTCCAATAATCCTATTAAATTTGTAGATTTCCCCAGGGGGCCTATTTAAAAAACCCTGATCTAAGCTTAAAGCAAGAGAAATGTCTGGTCCCAGGCAAATTTTTATGTATGAGAGCATATTTATATTGCACAGTAAGTCATCGACTAAAATTTAGTTCTTCATTCTACAAGCCAATACATTCCTGTGTCATTTCGTTATTGCCTGACTCAATGAAACTTAATATTTTCTATAATGCATAATTCCCTCCTATTTCAGGTAATGCAACTCGAAGGTGTATACAGAATTAATGAACCACATTTTTGGACTCTATGTAGCGAAGTATTCGTTGGAACAATAAAAATACAGATTGCTCCAAATGCAAATCCAAGATACATCATGAGCCAAGCTCACTCTATTTTTGCTCAGGTAATCAGAATTTTATAATTTCATATAGTCAAATGTAGTTTATCTAGTTAAAAAGCGTTTCCACAAGAATCTAATGACTGGAGAAAACTCGATCATAAAAACTGCACCATTGACCAAGTGCAGTTTTAAAGATTCTGTGGCATCTGCAGCTGCCGCAAAACCATGGCGGTATTCCATACCATGGCCGCTGCGGCCAAACCTATGGCGACTGACTTTTTAGCCGTCACAAACCAATGACAGGCTGCCGTTACCGCGGCAGCAAATTGAAAACCAATGGCAGGTAAAGTTTGCTGCCGTAACTACGGCAGGTGGGCCGTAAAGACAGGGCTGTCCCTTATGGTGACAAATATGGGGTAAGTTGGAGCGTTTTCTTATGAATACAGTTTTGATGGATTTGGGGTTAGGGTTAGAATTTAAGTAGATAAAATTAGAATCTGGTACATTAATTTGTGAATATACCGTTAATACTGATTACTGGATACTGAATAGCGCTATGAAACCATGGCAAGAGCTGCCACGGTTCGTTCGTGGCAGGAGCTGCCATGAAGTGGTAAGAACTGCGCCTCCCATTGACTTCGAAAATATCCAGAGCTACAGTTGAAAAAGGTTTTCTCAGAATTTAATTTCAAGCAAAGTCACTCACACTCATGAGTGGTGAAAACTAGCTCACAAAAGCCTCACCATCGATCACTAAAGTACCAACAGCTACAGTTGAACAGGGTTTTCCTAAGGATTTAATTCAAGCAAAGTCACCCACACTTACTCATGTGTGGACAAAACTCACTTGGAACATCTCACTATCGTCCAATAAAATACTCATTCAGTTAAGAAGAGGTTTTTCTAAGAATTCAATTTCAAAAACGTCATTCACATTCACCCATGAGTTGGGGACACTCTTCTCAGCAAAGTCACTCCCACTTACCCATGTATAGATAAAACTCACTCAGAAATCTCATTATCGTCCAATAAAATACCCAGAGCTTCAGTTGAGAAGAGTTTTTTTCTAAGAATTCAATTTCAAATGAGGTCATTCACACTCACCCATGTGTGTGGAGGACACTCACATTAGAAAAACCTCAATGACATAGCAAATGCTACCAAAAAAGTACCTAAAATTTATGGCATAACAATATCATCAGCGACCCAACTCCTCATAAAACGAGAGAGCAATGCTCAAATATATGATCACAAATGGCTAAGGTTATATAAAAGTTCTTCCATATGCTATAAAAAATGGGCGCTCCAGAAGTGTGTGTACCAATATGAGGGTAACTGATTTTGTTCGCCTACTTTACATCAAGTTATGTGAAGGGACTGAAACTTATGGGCAGGGGGTATATTCACTGCTAACACAGACAGTCCCCGAACGCATAATAGAACTAAAATAAGGAAAATTGTAATAAAATGATGGCCTAACCCTAACCTGGTACACATACTACGTACTAAAAATGTACTTCCAAATTCCATCATAAGAAAACAGCAAAGTATGGATGAAAAATCGGACACCATAGCAAATTTGATAACGGCTCCTAGCGACTTTTTTCATCTTGACTCTCGAGCACTGACAATTTGACATCTATTAATCCATTGGTTGTGGATTAATGTTGTTATTCTTCTAATAACAACAATAATTTAGCAAAACTTTTTTGTGACCTAAAATGGCTAGTAGCCTATTCTTATACAATACAATCTTATACAACTTCTGGGAATGCTCATTCCTCTAGTCTGTGACTTCCTGTATTGATAATTTCCAGAACTAACGTAATTCTTCAAGGGAAATGACTGAATAGTATAAATGTCATTTGTTGCATGCTGTTTGGGATATTTGCTGATATTCTTTCAAAAATTTAAATTTGAGATATTTTTTACTAGACTATCAACAGTCAGTTCATATCATGTCTTATGATTTTGGTATTTCATTGTTTGTTACTCCCGTAGTATGTGTACCAGGTTAGGGTCAGTATTATTCTTAATTTCTTTATTTTAATTCTATTACGAGTTTGGGTCTGTCTCTGTTAGCCAAGTGAATATTCCCTCTGCCCATAGGCTTCAGTCCCTTTACACAACTTGATGTAAAGTAGGCGAACAAAATGTGTTACCTCCATATTGGTACACATACTTCTGGAGCGCCCATTATTAAATATAAACAAAATTGTATGTGAACATGTATGTCTGTTTTGAGCAAGCATTAAAGTATTTCAGAGAAAAATGGTATCACTCTGAACAAGGCTCTATGCAAGCCAGCTTTAAATTGGTTTGTTTCAAATATTTTCAATTTCTAATTTGGTATTTTATCTTTCAGATCGGTGTTCGTCAGTTATATTGCCAAATTGATTTTACCTCTGTTTGACGAAGATTATGTGACATCATAAAGGTTTTCTACCGAACAAATTTTTAGAAATTGTCTGAATATTGACTGGTGCCAAGACCTATTATTAAATGAAGCATGACCAAATATATATTATTGGCTGTTTTTTATTTATCTGTATCTAGGATTCATTAAATATGCTAGAATTAGGCGAATTTTATTTTTTGAATTTTTTAGGGGTCCCTAACCGGGGTAAATTAGAACAGCATTGGGGGGTAAATTTTGCGAAGAAGAACGTACATGGCTTGGGATTCAGTGGGTTCCAATTCCAACACAATCTGCGAATTCAGTCTTGTTTTTTGTTTCAGATGTTAGAAAACCGCAGCAAATTGTAACATGTACTGCAGCTGCAACTAATGACTTTATGTATGCCGTGTATATACCTATTTGGCATTTTAAAAGTTATGTATTAGATTTATGTATAACGCGGCATGTCACTGTAGCTTACGTAACGGCGTACATTTTCTGAAATGAGGGAACTTGTTCTTGCACCATTGTTGAGGCTCATTTGTCATTTCCATGGCTCATTTCCATGAAAAGTTTCGATACCATTTTGAGGAAGTAAATTTTACTCTGGGAATTTTCCAAGAGGTAAACAAAGGTTGAAAGCCCCTAAATCGGACAACTTTTTCAGACAAGCCATTTGAATATCGATATATAGCATCCCTATTTCCACTTTGCCTATCCTGTCATGTTAATGGCCAATGTTGATGTTTATTCATTCAATGCAGCAAAAATACAATGTTCTCTTTGAAGCTTTCTGTATTGATGCTCTATTACAGGAATGGCGAATCTTTTTCAAGGAATAGGTCACACATATTTTTATCCTGAATATAAGGAATGTTGGTAGTTTTAAGCCTACCTGGGCTATAATTATATGGTTACTGTTTCACGCTTATTTGTAAACTAAATTTTGTGGAACACAATAACAGGTATCCCAAAAAACATTCTTTAGGCTCCTATCTGGTTCATGAACCTTCAATAGGAAACGGCTTTCGTAAACAGAAGTTGCTGCCAATAGATGCTAAATTGTGGGAGTCGCTGGAAATACAAATCAATTACATTTTGTCGTAAACAATGATACTTCATTATTGGTAGTTGCTACATACCAGAATGACTAATACAGTTCGCTTGTGCTATATTATTCTCGGTTTATTACAAATTTTTCACTGATGTTTTATTACTATGTTTGTTTGCTTCGTGACTTGACAGACATACATCTGTGGTTCGCCATTCCTTCTTTATAATGAACTCAAAACCTATCTTATGAAGCTCTTGTAATAGTGTTCAATATTTGTCAATCATATTTGGCTGCTTTTTTATTTTCACAAGACATATCTGAAGCTGACATATTTATTGTATTGAATTCCCATTTCTATTAGTTCTATTTGTGGTTTTGACATTATTTTGGATAAATTTTCCAAATTATGGTATATTTGAATACCAAACCTCATTTTAAAAATTGAACAGTAGATTGATTATTGACGGTGTTTTCAAGCCTGTGCTGTGAGCATGGCTCTATAGCAGTGGCTCTCAAACTTCCATGGTTTGTGACACCCATCCAAGAACTCACAGCGCTTGTGGGCTCACCTTGAGAAGCCCTGCTCTAGATAACGTTTGGTACGGCATAGCCACCCAATTTTATTTACACCCCAGGTTAGACTGTGTTCATTTTTCAAAATGAAATGTGCTTATTGTAGATAAATATTAAATACAGTTTTTGAATAAAATTATATATTTGAGTTATATTTTGAAGGAGTTTGTAGGCAGAATAATTTTTGTAAAGTTTATATGTAAAAACTGGAAGTACGGTATAATGGTTAAGCAATGAAATGCTAGTGAGGAAATGAAACTGCATGGAGGCAGTTACCCAAAAAGAATTAAAAATTAATTTCAATCATACAAAACGGTTATAAAATATTACCCTCCTCAATTTATTTTGGCCTGGTTTTTGAAATTCTAATTCTGCTGTCATTCTTATTTCTCGAGTTGAGACTGATTTTGTTTTTCAATAATTAAAATAGGAATCTAGTAGGTGATGCATTCTCCGAATGGTTATTCATCTACACTCTACAGCAAGCTTCCTGTCTTCTTGTCTAACCATAAAAATTTCTGATAAGCTTTTTATTTTATTTTTTTGTTATGTTAAGTGAAGCTAGTACAGATTGTAGAGTCGATTTTGAAGAGATTTTTGTGCTTTTAGCATTTATATTGTATTGTTTCTGTTATAAAATGTTCAAGACTCCTGTAGCAGTGTATAATGTTTTCTCTTGCTGAGCTGTTTTTTCCTTTTTGCTAGATATTTTTTGTTCATACGCCACTCTTCTATCAGAAATGTTTGGCTCTAATTTTGTGACTTTAATTCATATAAATTTATCAAAAAATGCTGACTACTTGGTTGAAATGGAAACAGGATTTTGACCTTCCGGCGCTAATTATTGTAATAAATAGTTCTAAACTAGTTGGACAATTTATCTTATCTGATGGGACTGGTGTTAGTATACATGGCTGGAAAAAAATTGCATATCTTGCGATTTTAAAATCGAATCATTGAAAACCCTTTTTTTTAAGCTGTTTCGTTAGTGGATTATAAATTTCTACACAATTTGAGAATTTCACGACAAAACGAGGAAAAGGTTGGAATTTTTATATATTGTTATTTGAAAAAATTACAACAGATGTAGTTTTTTTTTAGCTGTTTTTCTAGTCAAAGTTTGAACATTCACCAAGGTTCTTTAATAAAAAGTAATCAGAGTTTAGGAATTGAAAAGATCATTTTCTTAAAACAGTTTTTTTTTTTCAAGTTTCGCCATTTCAGGTTTAAACCCTCAAATTTAGAAGTACACGTCTGAATTTTTGATTCTCGTTTTGGGGTGTTTGAAAATATAACTCCAGTCCTGAAGCAATTCGATGAACAAAATGCCAAAGTTTTATTTCCCCATTTCCTTTGCTCTGAGCATTTTTCCCATGAAGAATATTGAGTAATTTGGGTAATTTGCTTTTCTGTTTCATCTTCATACTATTATCTTGCCTTGTCTGTTTACATGATAAGTACCAAATTATTACCAAGTTATTTTTGTGGTGCATTACTTTGTATTTTTGCTTCAGACCTTATATTTTATTTTCAATTTATTTTGAGGTGAAACATTTTCAGATTTTTAAATGTTTCGAGAAGAAAAAGATATTTGAGGGAACGATATTTTTTTGGAATTTTCAAGCTTGATATTGTTTCCTCAAATTGTAAAGCATTTAATGTTAATAATTTCTAAAAATTACGATGGTTGGTGAAATAATAGGGATTTTGCAGCACCCTATGGTTCCACCAGGTGGCGCCAATACAGTCTAGGGGTATTGTTCAAATATAATCAAATACATATTAAGTTTGCCGCTGTTATTTAACTTGCTACAATAAAAGATCGTTTTGTTTTGCCAGTAATAGGTTTGCATATATATATATAGTTTATACTTATTTAACAGGTTTTATTTGAGCCTTTCCGCTTTACCGATAAGGTTGAAAACCACTGAGATAGACATATGAATAAGGAAATGCCACATGATAATGATTTTTTTGAACTCAATACATAAAATAGTTTGGGAGGATTTTTATGAATTTTGAAACATTGAAAAAATCCTGAAATTCACATTTTTTGACTGAGGTTGAGACGGAAAAATTAGCCATTTCGAAACTCCCGGCAATTCTAAGGTGTACCTGTTACAGAAGGAGTGAGTTTTATTGTTTAACAAGCAGTGACGTATTGAAAAAGTTTACAACAGCTCCCTCTTGGTCATTGGTTGGCAATTTTTAATGAATGATGTTGAAATGAAATACTAGTATGTTATTACTCAAATAAATTTCAAATTCAAAATTTTTTATTGAAAATTTTTTTGATAAAAACTTTTCACTCTTTTCTCCCAGATCCGAACGGCCATCATGGCCCGAGGCATTGCTGCTATACCCTAGATCTGACATGGGCAAACTACAGCCCACAGGCAAAATTTTGGTAACTGGATCTGGTCCCGCCTGATGCTGCACACAACTAAACTAAAACCAAATTTTGTTGTTTTAGCTAGAAAATAGCTCAAGGAATTGGTTGAGATTGTGATTAAATTTAGTTTTGGCACGAGGCTTATTGTTTTCCACGTTTGCTTCTGTAACACTGAAAATATTGTTCATAATCTGTAACTTTCCACTTACATGGCGGTGGTCTAGGTGGGCAAAGTTCTTGGCCCCCTTGTCCAAAAATATTGTCCACCCCTGCCCTAGATACACACACCACTGCTATTGGGACACAATTTGAAAAAAAACTGAACATGTTTCTTACTTGAATTCTTTAAAATCCAAGCATTCCTGTAACTACAATCACATGCAAAAAGTGTAATTGAAGGAGAAAGGCTCTTAACTTGTTTTATTTAATTCATTGAAAATGCTCGAACACACAAACAGCATCAAAAGTGACGACTATAACAAATTTAAATTAGTATCAAGTGGCAGACATTGTTACCTTAAGCTGTTTTTTTTTGAGGTTTGTTTCCGGCTACCATATGATATTGTACTAGTGTAGTGCATAAGCGATATGAAGCTTTTGTGCAATAAAAATGACTATATAAAAGGCTCTTGGTTAGAATTTCGGATAGGTTGTAAATTTAGGCCGTTAGATTGAAGGACGGATGCTTATCATGTGGCTCTTACCGGGCTGTTGGGCCGGTTACAGTTGATGTCGTTATTGAGGCAGTTATTTGTTCAGTACATGGACTTACGGCGGAGCAAGACTTCAACGCAGCGGTTACGGGGCACTCGCAGCATACCATTAATATCCACCGCAATGGTTGGAACCCATGCAGGGTAATCAGGAGGTGCGAGGCTGGGAAGACGTTTTCTTTAGTGCAATGCGCCACACCTTCGACTCTGCGCTGTCCGAAGTCGTAATAAATTTCATAATTAACGGTGAAAGAAAAATACTGAGTCACATTTACACTATACGTTGCATTTTATTAGGCTAGGCGATTGGACGCATCGTGCCAAGCGATAGGAAATCGCTTGCCCTTGCACCTCTGATTATGCCCATGCGTGGGGATTATTGATTAACGTAACCTGTTTGTCCGCCGGTATTTCAGCAAATTTATTGCTCAGTCATCAGCCTCGATGCACGGTGTTCGTAACCATATATTTATTTGACTTTTTCCCGCTATTCGCAGCTTTTCACAATACTTATTTATAAGCTAACGATTTCATTATTGTGATCAAGTCAAGTTTATTCTTTCCAACCAGTAAAATCAACAACAATCGAACACAAATTACGAGAAAATGATAAATACACAGTTTTACTGGGGAAGAAATGTCGCGGGGAACGAAAGCTGGTTATCGAGAAGCGACACCCTATATTTAGTCACTCTACTTTCAAGCAAGCTTTCTGCCTCATCGTAGGTTAAGTTATTTTACTGTTTCATCACGTCTCGGCACTCGCGGAGTCGCAGGTAAATACTACCACGCACCCTGCAAGTTCCTTATGGAATGTGCTCGATCATCGAATGTTCGAAAACAACTTCATTAAATAGGGGCCTCATTTATCCGTAATCCACTTCTGCAAGTTTCTAGAAGAATTTTAAGAGACTATATATACAACACAGAAATGACTCACAATACTCACTGAAATTCTGCACTACACATCAGTAGCAGTGGTGTTCGCCTGAACCAGTTCCTGAAATGCCGTGTTAGTCCAGCGAAACCCGTTCTTGTTTTTTTTGGTTTAGAATTTAGTAAGGTTTAAGAACAGGCGCCAAAAATTTTGTTCACCTAGACTGGCAGGCCATGTATATAAGTATTATGTAAAAAGTTACATTTTATGAACAATATTCACAGTAATCAATTCCAAAAATGGCAAACATCAGTTTTAGTTTGGTTGTGTCAGCATCAGGCGGGCCAAATTGAATTACTTAACGGGCCGTGTTTGGCCCGCAGGCCGTAGTTTGCACATGTCAGGGTTTGACGACATCAGCAAACGGATTACGTGCACCACCGATTTGGCGTTTTGCAAGTTGCGTACTAGATTCTTGTAAAGCGGTTGTCATCGATACAAAAGAGAACCCGTTCCTAAAATGTTGAATCCCACCAATAAATAACAAGTAGTACATTTTAAAACTATTCATATCCAATGTTTTCGTTGAAATCGTAAAGATAAATTATCTGTGCACATCACAGGTTTTCTGATTGTAATTAACACCAAAAATTATTTTTACACACACATAAACATAGCAATACATTGAGTAGTAGTGAGATGTAGTAGTAGGCAACATATTTAAACACCCGAATAGTGAAGCCTTTCCAATAAGTAATGAGTTTATTCTTGAATAAAATTTCCCCAGCCTGTTTATGATATAAGTTTGTGTAACAAGTTGCGTAAACTTGTTTTGGGTTGGTTGTTCATCAATTTAATTAATATTCACACAAAGCTCCCATTCTTGTCCATCCTGGACTAGCATTGTGTAAACCTTGAGTTATTGACTGCGGATTCATTTTGGAGGCCAAGCCTATCAAATTTTCTTCTGGCAAAGTATTAGGATAGCCGGTGTGCCAAGGAAATGTGGGTGCTCTTGCTCCGTTTGAAAGCATCACACGTTTAGTCTGAAAAACAAATAATTGATTGTGTTGTGTTACAAATACAGATGATAAAAATTGGAGGATTGAAAAAATAATATTGCATTCAAAAACACTTCTTGAAACTCAGGACTGTATTAATACGCTGTTGCCAAAAAAACGACGGCACAATACCTGATTCCGGTGATTTGAGGGGGGGGGGGGGCAATTAATGATAACTGAAACATTACTGGCAAATTATCATTTTTTGTTCAGGTTGACTTTTCTACGATAAAAAAAAGAATCAAAATATAAAAAGTACAATAGGTCTCAGATTTATTTTTGTCTAGATATATTTATACCGCTATACATATTTTTAAGGAAGACTGAAGGATTTTTTATGGCAAAAACTGCCTAATCCATTTCAATCGGCATGTTTTATTTTTAACGTTGAAGAGATAAAGTTTTTTCCCAATTCACACAATACCATTCAATCGACCGTATTCAATTTTTAAAACGTTCAAAGGACAAACATTTTGAACAAGAATTATTAATCTGGGTAAAAAATCAAACAAATCTCAACTTTATGAAGTTTAAAACCGGTTTTGTTCTGGAACAAGCATTACAATTTAAAAACGACTTTAAAATGGACAAGCGAGCAATGCTCAAATATATGGACACGAAAGCCTATTACCAAATCTTTTACAGTACCTGTAGCTAACCACCATACCGCTGATATAAAATCACGAACAACGGCACCATACCATAACAATTTGGAGTGAGGAACGAATTACATATGCCACACAATTTTTTTTTAATTAACAGAAGAGATGGCCTCCTAGCGACAACCACAATCTTTAACCACTAAAAATGTGGTGGTAATTGGTCCAGTAGATAAGAGTAAATACAATTTTTTCACAAAACATAACAACAAAACAATCCATATATATATGTACATTTCGTGTTCAATAACATTCCGAAATTGAATGTCTTAACCCCTGGTATTACTTACTCTTGTGTTGTAGGTCATTCCAAGCCATACATAAATATTTCCTGATTCTTTGCGTAAGTATTCAAGTATTAGGTTGTAGTGTTCCATTGAGTAAATATTTGCAAGCTTCCAACCTTTGGACTTGCACAGATTGCCACCCTCTGTATACTGAACACCCGATTCTTTATGCAAAATGACTTCAAAACATTTTTCATTGTATAACAGCGTGGAGCAATGGTCTGAAATCAAAACCAGTGTAAATATGCAAAATAACATCGAATTGGTCCAGTCTTAAATTAGAATAAATTCAATCACTACCCTGCCCAGTTTAGCTGCTATTTAATGGTGTATTGAAGTTATTTCAAATATTGCTTTGACTAGGCCGGGGTAGGCAAGGCTTTTGGAGCAGGTGCCGAAAATTTTGCCCATCCTGGCTAGCGAGCTGACCACCTAAGGGGGACATAAAAAGTTACATTTTATGAACAGAATTTTATTTACAGCGTCACAAAAGCAGAAACGGGAAACAATAAGCCTCGTGCCAAAACTAAATTTAATCGCAATATCAACAAATTCCTTGAGCTGTTTTTTTTTTTAAAACATCAACATTTGATTCTAGTGTGGTTGTGGCAATTTTCAAAAGAGAATCGAGATGAGTATCGGTCAATTGAAATCTGTATTCAGTTTTGTTGAGATTCATTAGACTGATGGTCTGTTCACAACCACAAGGCGAAAGAAAGAGATGTGAAAAGCACGCCATCGAATCAAGTGAATGAGAAAACGTAAAGTTTTGTCAACATCCTCATAACGAGAAAGTCTATGGCAACCTAAAATACAACTTACGCAGACTACAATCATAACCTAACATATTGTACAACTTCCGATAACAACAACTATGTAGTGCATGCAGAATTGGGTAAAAGCAGAAATTTATTTATTGTCTGTGGTTTTCTGATTATTATTATTATTAATTATGGGGCAACCTAAAATACAACTTACACAGACTACGATCAAAATCTAACAATCAACTATGTAATGCATGCAGAATTGGTTAAAAACAGAAATTTATGGTAACATCAGGTGGGCCAGATTGAATCACCCAATGTGCCGGGTTGGCCCGCGAGTCGATGGTTGTTCATGTCAAGACTAGAGGCTATGTGGACTTAGCTGTATATACGACAAGCCATCTTATCAGGGTCTCGTATTTTATGCCGTTTACTAAACAATGCTACTACCTACTAGTAATAGAACCATCATTTCGAAAATCGATAAATAAAGGTATTAATTCATAAAAAATTAAATACCTGAAATTTTTTCTTCTAACTTCTCAATCGTGTCGTTAATTCTGATCAGTGCTGTTTCTAATTTTTCTGCCATTTCTTCGACACGAGTATTGATTGTTGCAACAGCTTTGAAAATAAGGAAAATATCAAGCATTTCATCATTCGGTACTTCTGTAGTATGTAAACCAAGATGGCGGACACCGGAAGGTAGTAAGTGTACCATGTTAGGGTTAGGCCATATTTTCAGGTACAAATAGTACGTGAGTCACTAGTGCCCGAACTAGGTATAGAACTAGAATGAGGTAAATTGGAATAAAATTATAGCCTAACCCTAACCTGATACACATACTACGTTCCGGTGTCCGCCATCTTGGTTCACATACTTCTGGGGGCACCCATCGTCCATCCATAATAAATTTCGACCATAACCTCGCCTCGGTTTGCATTTACTATTCAATCTACTAGGGCATAGGTTCTCAAAGTGCTCCGTACGGAGCCCCAGGGCTCTGCGAGAGAAACCCAGGGGCTCCGCGAGCTATTCGATTACTTTACAAAATACTGACTAATTTTGTAATTGTTCAAAGAAGCAATAACAGCTTTGATAAAATCTAACAACAATATAGCCTCGACATATGGCAAAGAGACGGAGTTAAAAAATGACATTATCTGTAAGCAGGAGCGCAGCCAGGATTCTTAAGAGGGAGGCGGTTCAATTTCCGCGCAACATTCGTGATTAAAAAACGGATGACGAGATTTCTGTTGCGTAAAATATTCAATCCATGACCGATGCGAGCATTTAAAGTGTCTCGTCGTTATAATGTAATTGTGCTCATCTTTACTCATCTTTGATTCGAGATTACTATTAGGATTACTAAAATGAAAGAATACTATTCTAATAACATAAAATATGTGATAAACTGCCAACTATAAATAAATTGGAGTCGTATATTTGCGATCTTGGGATTTGCCAAACTTGATTTGTTCTTCCGCACTTGAGATTATTCTTAAGCAAGATATCGCCGTTTAAAAAATCACAATGTCTGGGCAAAATACGAACAATTGAAATTTATTTTATTGCATTCGGCTACGTCGGTAGTTTCAGAATGAAAAAAGGTACATCGCGGATCGCGCGCACAATTGATTGCGTGCGGCTCCGTCGGCAGTTTCAAAATGGGTAAAAAAGGTACATCGCACGCACAATTGACGCAAGCACAATTGACGATTTCGCAGTTACTACGATGAAAATCTAACATAACAGCAAATTTTGTGATTTACTATGTCTATAAAAGCGTTTTCAATCTGAGGTGAGTCTGCTGAAACCAAACGTGTGATCTTTCATTTTAAGTTTTAATATTTTGGAATGCCGCTTTTCAATCAAGAAATTCGAGTTGCGGATTTACTTCGTCATTAATTATTATTTTCAGCAATACGTCGCCGATGACTATAAAACGGTAACATATTTTTCACATTGAACTCATAATTCCGATAAGAACAAAAAGGCAATTAACGTCGTCATTGTGTAACAATACATGTATATATATGCCGAGGGCAATTTTGGATTTAGGGAGAATAAACACCGGCGTAAATGTTGTAGGTTCAAATACACGCCGCCATGCTGAGGAAAAAATCGGCGATTGTAACAAAATGCAATCGCGCACATTATTAGCAGCCTTTTAAGTCTTCCAAAAATGTCAAAAGGGAAAAGATTCGAACCCGAATTTATTAGTATGTTTGGCAAGTGTCAAATTTACAGCTTTAGTATATATAAATTATGTTTGAAATTTAGATATATTTATGACTTGTGTTAACTCTAATGAAAAAGGTTCAGCATTTAAATTGAGTAAAGTACTTTTAACTTGCTCAAGAATATTAATCTGAAAGTTACAATTTTAACATTTATTTTGGGGCTCCGTGAATAATAGTCAACAATTTCAAGGGCTCCACGACACCAAAAGTTTGAGAACCCCTGTACTAGGGCACTTGCTTTATAATATTAATTAGTTAGAGTGAATCTAGAATGATTATGGTTACTTATTTAATTTGTCATTTTTCCACGGTGATTACTCCAACATCTTGATACTTTGGGAAATTTGAGTTGTGATAACTGTTCAAATATTCGATATGGTTTAATATCTAACTTATGTCGAAACTCATCTTTATGTTGGGATAATCCCTTGTGTAGTTTATTTTGTCAAATGTCCATCACGAAAAGCAAACATTCATTGGTTTAAAACTATCAGGTCTTTTCAAATATATACTACTTCTTATAAATATAATTTTTAATGAGATCGTTATTTACTGGCGTGCAATACACCGCCATAATTCTATAATATTAACTCTTCGTATTCAGCAACTTTGGTTAACCTCTTTTAAGGTTAAGATGAAGAAAAGAGGGGACCTTGGAACGGAAAATGATTGTACGACAGTCATTATTTTTATATTTTACACGATCAGATTTATGGCTATAAGCATGAAACTCCACATTTCTTACCAAGGATGCTTTTGATCATAGCTTTGAGCTTTGTTCAGAGTGATAACGTGGCTCCCTAAAAAGTTTTTTCTTCCCAATCAGTACAAAATTTACCCCAATGAATATGAAGCTAAAATTAAACTCTAAATTTATATCTATAAATCCTTTTTGCCGTTGCCAACTTTTCTTTCCAGCATAACGCCAACTCGGTCGTAATCTACGATTCCGTAGGGACCAACTTCTCCATTGTCGCCTTTTGGCCCAGTTGGACCTCGTTTTCCAGGCCGCCCTTGCGTCAAATCGTTTGCTTGTGATGTAACAGAACTGCTTGACGTCAGAAACGAAGAGCATAGATTCTGACAAACTTGTTGTTGATCTGCGTGACTAATCGAACAAGAAATCACAAATACGAAAACTAAAAACGCGAATTGCGCCAAACTTCGCATTTTGTAGATGAAGTGAATACTTTTGTATTTTTTTACCAACTGTAAAAACAATACTCCCCGGTTAAGATATTAAAATTTTTATGTACAGTCGTTTTTTCGAATTGTAAAGAATTTGAATAACTACCGAATTTTTCAGACAATATGGTACACTTCAAATTCTTTTTTCTGAAAAATCAATCGTACGCCTTTTTAGCCGATGCGAATGCCCAATGTATGGATCATGTACTGCTTTATATATATATTAATGCCTGCACGCAAAGCCAGTACCGGTACAGTAACCGTTGCCTTTTATAGTTTGGTGTGCCTTATGTAGGATTAAAAACAAACTATTGATAGTGTGCCTCATAATACGGCGCGCCATATGGTCCGTAATGATTCGCTGTCAAGGAACGCCATACTGAAACGCGCTTAATTTTTTTTTATACCAGTCACTAGACGCCATGTTAGTTTAATAATATGTCCCGTTTTAATGTTCTGCATTCTGATACTTAATATATTCTGACTATACGACCATAAGTTATAAAAAATTTGTATATATAAATTTCACTAATTTCTGATTTGCGGGACGATTGTCTACCCTACAATAAACAGTTACCGATCGTGGCTTTAAAACGCAATATCCTCAAAAAGACACTATGACGTAACTGCCCTTTCTCATCAAAGCGAGCACTAGTGCACTCAGTATTTTCTACTTTGGTACTAACAAAAACAGCAACTCCACCAGCTTGTAAAGTCTATTTTGAACTTGCTGAATTCTCGACTTGCTTACTAATATATGTAATCATAAAGACAAAATCGTATCACCAAATTATAACGACAAGGCCCACGTGGTTACTAACATGTCGAATTTTAATAACATTCATTGATGCCAAAACTTCTGCAGGACGTTCTACAAGACTTAAATAAACATGTTTTCATGTCAAACATGTTTCCAATCCTTCAACTAACATTGCTTCAAAACAACTTTTCATTGAATACTTGTTACTTTGAAAACTTTAAAAAGGTATTGCAAGCATTTCACAGTATCACAAAATTCAAGTTTGTGCGGATTTATGACTTTTAAAAATCATCTTCCAACCGTTATACTTAGATATAAGTTTCGTTAAATAGTTCATGCCTGATGGAATCATTTTATTTGAATATACGCTGGAAATAACTGAATAACCATAGGATATTTATAAATATATATATTTTGTCATATTTTGGAGATTTTCTCGAACGAAGTGGTGTGGTGAATATCTGCGTTCGTACCTAAAATCGAATGATTCTGCGATTTTTGAACCATTTCATGAGCTAATACATAAGTATAAACTTCTTATTACAATATACTAACACTCTAAACATCCTGAAAAGTTAAAATATATAGTCACCTCTAAATAGGCGGAAAACAACCTGCATTGATACTAACATCACTATGATGCAACAATACAAGTAGTAGAAATGTGCCCTAAACATTTATCCCATATATTTCCTGTTTTGGTCAAGTTCAGGTCATTTCTCGCTATCTGTTTTTCGCTTATTATCTATTTACTATTATAATTATTTCTGGAAGTACGTCTCTCTTGTCTTGTACAAATAGTTTGACATTGACTCGAATATGTTATGTACAACCAGTTGTCATTGCCATCGTCTAATCATCACCGTAAATTCGATTAGGTTTGCGTTATGTCGCTAAAGGTAAATGATCGACAAAAGTGGGATAGGATTATTCCGTCTCCATTTTCAACATACAATTATAGTTTATAATAAAAGTTTGTCTGAAACACAGTTATTCGCCAGCGAACATGACTGTGAGTGCAAATCTATGCTGGTGTTAATACTACGGGTGGAGATTTTCATAGGGCGATTGCATATGCGTGAAAATGCCATGGGACATGGGTACAAATGCCCATGGATTGCAGATCAACGGTACACAACCTGCGGCCATTCACATACAAAATCCTATAAAGAAAAAAAAAAGAAAAAATAATTCAAAATATAGGATTTGGCAGCTATGCTGGGTGATATTGAAGCAAAACAGAAGCACTGCAAAAACGTCAGACGACAAGATTTTTTTAAGGTTGTGGGAATTGGTGTGTAGGTGAACTATAACCGAATAAACTGAAGATTGTAATTACTATTTATGACAGATATTTTCCAATAAAAATATTTGATTGTATATACTTACAAAAAAATAAAAATATTTTACAGCTGTTCTGACCATTGTATTAAAAAATTATCCGATTGTTGATGTCGGAGTACGTGATGATATCAACAAGGTGATTTCGGCACCTCTGGTGGGACACGTGTGACACGTGGGAAAAGTGTGACACATGAGACAAGTGGGACACGTGGGACAAGTTGGACGAGTGGGACACGTGAGACAAGTGGGACACGTGAGACAAGTGGGACGAGTGGGACAAGTGGGACACGTGAGACAAGTGGGACACGTGGGACAAGTGGGACACGTGGGACACATGGGACACGTGAGACAAGTCGGACACGTGGGACACTACATTTTTGAAACATCGGGTAAAAATGTGCTAGGCTGCAATTGTACGTAAGTGCAAATGTCCTTTAGTGGAAATGTACATGTGCGCAAATTTCCGCAGGTGCAATCTATTTGCGGGTGGTAAAATCTTTAGGTGTACATGTGTGGGGGCAAAGGTCCTGGGTGCAGTTTACAGGTGCAAATGTGCTGTCACAAAAACGTGGTAACAGACTGACAAATGTGTCATAATATAAGCTAAGTGCGTTTTTAAGCGCACTTAACGTTTCCTTACATTACAGACATGCAAGAGCAAGTGCAGTTCAATACCGCATAATCATGGCGGTATTTTTAAATCATGGCGCTATTGCCAAACTCATGGCGACTGACTTTTTAGCTGACACAAACCAATGCCGAACTGCCGTTACCGCGCAGCAAATTGAAAACCGATGGCGGGTAAAATTTTGTTGCCGTAACCAGGGCAGGCGGGCCGGCCGTTAAGACAGGGCTTTCCCTGATAGTGACAAATATTGGGTAAGTTGAAACATTTGTTATGGATACAGTTTTGTTGGATTTGGGGTTAGGTTTTAGATTTAAAAAGATATAGTTCCGCATGATGAACTAAAATCTGGTACATAACTTTGTGAATATACCAGTAATAGCGTCATAAACCATGGCAAGAGACGCCGCGGCTCGTTCATGGCAGGAGCTGCCATGAAGTGGTAAGAACTGCGACTCTGCAGGAGACGTAGGGAGAATATTGCTTGACAGTTCTTAGCTTTCCTGCCCACGCATCCTGAGCCTCATCAATAGTGTGATGCTATGACTCTAATTGTCAACCGGGCTAGAGGAAATTGGTATTGTTTTGTTAGCAATCAGTAATGAATGTTAGCATCTATGAATCATGAGTTTAATATTCGCTGATTTGCTAGCTGAAGCAGGTCGACAACGCCGACAAGATTTATTAGAGTAAAGAATTTAAGGAAATTAGTGGTAAATAGATTGCATAAATAACCTATGTGATATTTTTTTCTAGTAACGCGGGTAAACGCTGCTGGTTTAGGAATGAAGTCATGACATCGAAATGAGGAATTGCAGATATGCAATTTCTTGTAATTTGGACATAACTTTAATGATACTTTTTGAATTATAACTAATATCGTGCCATGAACTTGGGTCCTACTATGATGGGCGGCGATAGGAACTTTGAAATTTTTTGTTCCTATTTTGTTAATAGTTGATAACCAATACTAAGTTTTCAACTAAACTTTAAAATTTGGCTAGAAATATTGCAATGTTACAAAAATGAAGGCGTTCAAAATATTAATAATATACTGTATTCTTATTGCGAACCTATTTGGAGTCTCTCACGCACTAGTGTGATACAATGACTCTAACTGTCGACCCTGCTTGAGGAAATTGGTATTGTTTTGTTAGTAGTCAGTAATGAATGTTATCATCTATGTATCATGAGTTTAATATTCGCTGATTTCCTGGTAGAAGCAGGTTGACATCACAGACATGATTAATTATAGCAAACGATTGAAGGGAATTAATAATAGAAAGATGGCATAAGTATGTAATTGTGTGAAAGTATACGCTGCCGATCTTGTTAGGAATTTATGGAAGTGAAATTGGAAATTGCAGATATGTCAATATTTTGTAATTCTGGCATACTTTCAACGATATTCTTGTGAATTATAGCCAAGATCGTGATATGAATTCGTTTGCATATCTCGACCTATTTGCTCGTCTGGTGATCGTCTTGAATACGATGTCACTCCCCGGGTAGTTAAGATCACACTGAGCATACCAAATTAGCACCTATTGCTCTCATTCAGAAATAATGTTGTCGACTTACTGCTCACTTTTGCTGGGGCAATAAGAACTTTGAAATGTTTTATTTATTCTTTGTTTATATTCAGTAATTTCTAATTATATTTTGAAATTTGGCTGAAAATATTGAAATGTTGCAAAAATGAAGGCCTTCCAAATATTAATAATATTCTGTATTCTTATTGCGAACCTACTTGTATCTTACGCACAAAGTAAGATAATTTTTGTTAACATCAGGTGGCTTTGGCATGATAAAATAAATATTGTTATTCTTGTGTTTGGTGGAAAATGCTATGCAACGTTTATATAGATTAATCTCATCGAAATGTGCGAACAGTGGAAGAAATAAAAGCACTAAATTATTTTTTCAAAACTGTCAAATATTCATTCAATCAAGGAATAATCTTTTGTTCTAAGCAAACCTTTTTTCTTAAAATTTTTTTTTGCGATTCTGCCGATTTTATGCTTCGTTGTCGATAATTCTTATTATTATTCTTATTAATCTTATTAATCTGCAGTGATATCCATGATATGTTTACGTTTTTATCCATGACCGATCAATTTTTATTCTTTTCCTATTAATAACTGACGTGTAATCGCTACAATATCATTTTTATTCGAATTGTTTTTATATAGTTCCGTGGAAAACAGAATGCGTAGATGGGTACAAACTGAACTTTTTTAATAATCGAAGGAAAAACTACGGAGGGGCTAAATCTTTCTGTGGTGCAATCGGAGTTTATTTGGCAAAAGTTGATAATCAAAGAATGACTGACGTTATCAATGCAACTTTTGAGTGAGTCACCTTGCTTAAACGTGATCACGCACTTTATGCGCGCAATTTATTTTGAAAACTATGACTATAGACTATAGACCAGTGGTTATTAAACTTTTCGAGCCGCGCCCCCCTTTGAAAAATTTTACAAACTTCGCGCCCCCCGTTTTTGCTTTTGGTATATTGTGGACCTGTGCTTTCCGTGAATATTATTGTAGTGATCACTTGAAAATCAATTTGAAAAACACTCAGTTTGAAAATGGAAGTGTCATTGCTAGTAATTTATTTGTCACGTTGTGATACTCGTTTGATTTCCTGAAGAATCCTAAAGTGTATCGGTGTTTTTACTTGGCTAAATACCAGTATTTATCAATAATTGAAGGGTAATCGAGCAACTTGACTTTTTCAAAAGTGTGCGTTGAACTGGTAGCCTTCGGCTTACTCGGTACCAAGAAAGTAGCCCTCGGCTTCAAAAAGGTTGGTGACTCCTGATCCAAAGTATAAATATTCTGCTAAATTTTTTCTCAACGTGATGTGATGGTGCGTTGCGGCGGTGGTGTTGAGATAGAATGACGGTAGTAGACTGAGCTGTTTTTCTTCGGGTGGCCTAGATGGCGGGACCGGTCCAATTCCCAGTAGCTTGATCCATTCACATGAGTCGGTTGAGTTAGGTGTGCGTTGAATGGAATGCGATATTATCAGTTCCTGCTGTACTGTCATATTAAAAATGAAGAATTTTATAGAGCGAGCACAACCTTTCAAAAAGTTTAAAATATGAGAAATATCATTTGCCTTACACGCTCACAAAAAATGCAAACGTTGTTAATTAAACAAGGATTTTTCAAGAAATAAGCACATAAAAATACGCGAATATATTGAACGTTAAGGCTGTTGTAGGCTACTTTTAAAATTCTTGAGCAGATAATGATCTATTCAATCTGATACAAATGCAATGTGATAAAGTAACGACTAACGAGGGGGTAATGTTTGCAGGGGGGCGATGATACAACAACTGTTTGGGAATCACTGTTTTAGACGTTGGACGACCTAAATTAACTAAATAAATAGCCTTTGCGTGATGAAGCAAAGTAGTATTAAAAAGCGATGATAAAGCCAGCTAGCCCATAATAATTATTGCTAGTATATATAATCCGCAGGTAGTTTTGATCCTTACTGGTAAATCGTATACTTGGATGTATTTGTTTAATGCCTAATAATAACTATAAAATCTATTATGTTTAAAACAGTTTTTGTATAGGTAGGCTTTTTTTTGTTCCACCATTCCTGTTATAAATTAAAAGCAAATCCGCCCTTTTCCTCCCATCTATGTCTTTTCCTCAATTTTCAAATTAGAATTTACCGATACTTAGGACGCATTATTCAGCTGATCAATTACGAATACAAAAGGCTGACAAAAGTCTCAACCATGATGTAGGAAATCGGAGTGGTTATTTCGAAACAATGAACGATCCAAAATCTTCCGAAAAGCTGTGACTAATCACGAAACGATATTCAATCATTCAGTGTAAACGACATACAAAGTTATGGTCTAATAGTTCTCTCGAGAAATATCGTTTCCCCAATAGAATTTAATTAGGTGTTCAATTACGTGCAATGAAGCAATGTCGGCTGAAACTGAGTTAAATATGGCATTCCTTATTTAGTACTCGATGTATTTTCAATACTGCAGAACACAGCCTTATAAATTCGTGATTCGTACAATCTGTTCCTACTTTTTTGTCCAAGCAAACCTCTAGTTAGGGATTTAGTCTCGCGCAGCCTACTTCAAACCTATCTGCTGGTGAGAATTACTTGTCTTAGATGACAATGATGCAAAAAATAATGTAAAATTAACATAGTTGTGGGTGTTAGACGTTACGTTTTGGAATTAACGTATCCTGATTTGCTTTCGAACATTTGTTATCGAGGACCTGTCTGCTGTAGGTACACACTGATGAAAGGAAGAGGAAAACAATTTTTATTTGTTTGTGTTATTTGGTTTTCATAAGATCCACTCAGGATGACGAGGTTAAGCATAATCACAATGCTGTGTTTGCTTAACGAATATACTGGCAATGCTTCCTTATGAAATTAAGCTATTGCATCAGATATAACTGATGCATGCACACACAATCCATTATGACTTAGGAACGGCTTATGGAAGTCCATGTTTCCGTGCATTTGCAACTCTTTTGTTATTGTTGTGGGAAGTGGTAGACTGACTCAGCGAACCACCACAGTTGAACTCTTACACGTGACAATTTACGTATATTTTTCATGATTGTATGTAAAGCGTGTTCCCAGAAATGTTGGTACAGGAATAATAGTAGCAGTTTGTAAAGGCAGAAAAATTTCGAATAATAGTAATAATAGTATTAGTTTGTAGGAGTGGAATTGTTTTGAAATGTGAATGAATAAGCTTATGAAAGTTGTATAGTTATTACTGTATCAAAGTATTTTCGTGAAAAGGCGTTCCAACACTTTCGCTTCATACCGGGTGCGCTACTGCTTGTAATTTACCATAAGGAGGACTCATGGATATTCAGAACATTTCGTCCTAAGCCAAGAACTATCTACGATAAACATAAAAACCGAATGTAAGAGGCGCATTTATGTAGTTGGGCATACTCGCGAAAACCTGTCAACTGCTCCAGAAAGGTTTGGTTCAGTCGACGTCTTCCGCAGTTTTACATAATATTGCTTCAACATTTAGAACTGTGATGTTATCAGTTCTATGTACTTGAGTTGCTTTTCTAATAAGTGTGATAAATTTTAATAGCTTTAGTTTTATGCTATTTGGAACCTAAAGCGACCTAATTAAAAAGAGTTGAAATCAGGGTTTATTATTTAAGTTGACCACAAATGTTAAAAACGGGGTCGTTCGAATAACAAAGATGAATCTCACAATTTGGATGATATTGTTTTCGACTTTCATAACAAGTGCCTCAGCTCAAGGTTAGTTGAATATTGTATTAATAAACCATGTGCTTTTATCCCGTTCAAACATTTAGTTTATTAATAGGTTCCTTCTCTCGGTAAATACCAATCTTTTTTACTTATATCAAATGAGGAAAACAACTCAGCTTTTGAAGTACTGTATACTAATTGAATCCATTATTCCAATTTTTTCTTTTGTTAAATTTTTATGTTAATAAATGAGAATTGTTATTTAATTAATTGTTCAATTTTGAATCTGATTACAATTTCAGATACCATTGTGTTTCAGATCCTTGGAGGAAAGAATGTGTTGATGGGTTTGAACTGCTTTTTTACAAACAACGTAAAACTTATACCAGCGCAAAGTCTTCCTGTGAAGGATTGGGAGGTTACTTGGCTAAAGTTGATAATGAGAGAATAACGGCAGTCATTAATTCCACATTCACGTGAGTTGAGTATTAAGAAAATTATTTTCGATATCCTGGTGTTATTTACTATGTGATTTATTCAATCTATAGCATGAAACTCTAGACTAGAAAGGTGGAATTGATTATTTTACTGTTGTTTGTATCATCTCGATGTAGATTAAAAACTTATATATAAAGATTTATGAAAGCTGAAATGGAATATTGTTTGTACAGTGATGAACGAGAGAGAGATTTATTTTACTTTAAGGAAGATTGTTACCTTATAGGGATAATAACAAATATGTAGTTCTTTATTTTACTTAATATCGCAAAACTAACCCCAATCTATATCGAGAAATCATTGTTGTTTTATTAACTACAGAACGATTCTTTTACCTTGAGTGTGTTGCATTGAAACTATTAGTGTGTCGTGAATAGAATAAAGCAAGAATCTACAGACAATGCTAACAAGTTTGTATATTTGAATAAATATAAACAAAATTTTTGTCCGCGCAATGGTTTTTCAGCAATTAGTTTATACATTCAAATTTGCAAATCACATGTAAACACCGGAACTAATTGGGAATTTTTGATAGCGGGATACTTGGCATAATCAGCTCTTCTATAATACTACATTGCTTCATCACACAAAGGGTATTTAGGTATCGTAGCGTGACCGTGGTCTATTTCAAAACTTCTATCCTTATGTTCCTTTTCTTTCAGTTTTCAATTGATGGCTCCAATCTTTGTTTTTAAAACTAATATGGTTTTTATACTCTTAGCATACAAGGTGGTGAAAACGCCTTTTATATCGGAGGAAACGACCTAGCGAGAGAGGGAGATTGGAAATGGCAAGATGGTTCTTATGTGATCATGAGAGGAGAAGCGGGATATCAAAACTGGTTTGTTTTTCAATTTTATTCCCAAAAGTCGCCTTGTAAATAACTATTGCTTAGATCAGTGGTTCCCAAACTCTGGGTCGCGTGAAGATTTTTCGAGGTCGCCTAATTTCTGTCAAACATGCGCACACAAGTGAATAGGATTTTAAAATTGGCAAGTGAAATTCGTGATGGTCGGCAGGTACCGTATAAAGTGCTTAACTTCGGAATTTCGGAATGAGACTTCGGAATTAATAATGAGAGAAGAAGTGGGATATCAATACTGGTATGTTTATCAACTTTATTTAGGAATGTCTTAAAATATGTGCTGCGAGAAATAGTTTTTTAAACACGTATACTATGTAGTATTCATTATTCTCAATAATATAGCAAATGGAAGTACCACGGCATGACTTGAATGATGATATTTATTATCTTCCGTTGTTAAAATCATTTTATCGTCGATGAAATGATGACAAACCTTACTAGATAACAGTTACGGGCAAATGGATAAATTGTACAAAGCTATACTTTATATTAATTTACATTTAATGTATCAATACTTTTCCTGTTTGGAGAATAATTGGTAGTTATATCTGAGCAACACCTTGTCAATAACTATTGTTTACCTTAGAGCCTTAGATTTTAGACCTAATTGGTTTTCGCCTTCTAAATTTATCAGGAAATATAATCAACCAAATGGTGAGACTTTAAGCAATACTCTTGTTGAAGACTGTTTGACATTAGGCAAAGGAACGTATATGTGGACTGATTCATCCTGTGATGAGAATTTCTATTACATTTGCCAGAAAGGTAATATTCAGTTTCTTTTTTTTTTCAATTGGGAAGAAAAGTATGATATGGTTTTGGTCTATGAACGATAATGTACAACTCTTCCTCATAATCATCTTTCAAGGCGTTTCTAGCCATGTGATAAATTTTTCTAATAATGTACAAGTGTGTGCAAGCTTGCTCAGCTGAAGGTAACGAAAACGTATCAAGTTGCATGAGTTTCATTTACAGAAACAATAGAGCAAAACCTATATATATGTACACAGAGAACAAAACGCAATATTATATATACCAACAATTTCGCAAAATCCATACAATATCCTGAACCAAGCTTGAACTGTGGAACAGCTACAGTACCCGGAACAATACAGTTACAGTACCCTGGCCGTCTTAACCTTTCAGGTATGGTGACGATGACTCATTCTTCCAATTTCTACTTGAATTGAACTACCAAATGATCCGAGTCACTACCGTATTACCAGATTCCGTACTGTAGTTTACCGTTCCCCATAAAAAAACTTCGGTATTTCACTAAGCACGGGATTCACCGACTTTTGCTAAGCACCATACCCGTTAACTCGTGGTCGCAGAACCGCTACAATTTATTTTTGGACCTTCTGAAGTATGCGCACAAAGATGCCATACAACCTGAACTCAGGTTATGTACAAGGGGAGGGTTCAGGTTGTGCGACAACTTGGTGCGCATACTTCAGGAGTACCTTATTTTTAATTTTGTCGACGTCGCCACACAAAACTACAAATAAAAAACGATTCTCACAGAGTCCTCAAAAAATTTTGAAATAAATGAAAATAACAGCCGTCGAGAGACAACAACACTCTTTGAACACAAAAGTTGATAGCAATTTATCCAGTAAATAAAGCAAATGGGAATTTTCTTAATATCAACAAGATGAAGAAAAGAAAGACTGATAACATGATGATCAACAACAACATAATACCAAACCAATCCATAGGTCCATTTCGTGCCCGATAATCTAGCACTTAATTAGTGATTGTAGATTGAATATGAATATAAATAGATTGTCAAATTTGGATTATTCACTTGAAACTGATCAATACAGATCACATCGATACAAGTATCCGTATTATATGTCGGTTCCACTGAATGCTTATAATACGAATGATTAGACTTTAATCACTTAATTTAACTTGTATTACAAACAGAGATGCATTAGTAGTATTAATTCAAAAATGTTTTTATTTGTTAAAACAAATAATTTAGATAATTAAATGTTCAGTGTTTCTGCTTACATGAACCAACGTAATAAACCTAGTCATTCTAAATATTAACCAATTTTGGAAATTCTCCTTTAGTGTTTCAAGGCCCTTTCGTTGGAATACAAACCATCAACGGAAACCAGAAAAGGTGTTCTGCAACAGAATGCAGCACTGCTACACAATTTGAATGGCACAAAGCATCTAACAAAGTATCAACCGCAACTACAAGTAGAGTTTATCAAACGATACAAACTGGATCAGCAACATTGAATCTTCAAAACGCAAATATTGCAGATGCGGGATCCTATAGTTGTCGTTATCAAATTGGTAAATTGTGGAAAACTACAACTGAATCATATGAAGGTAAATATAGATATTCACATTTATATATGTTTGTAATCTCTGTTTACTGATCTTGCGTAATTCTTTTTCAGTGGCTGGAAATCCCTCAATCTATTCGAATATCGAATGACGTCTGCAACTCTAACTTGATCATCTCATGGAAACCACATACAATGCTGTTGGATTCCCACACAAGTAAAGTTTTATGATTATTTGAAAATCAAACCTTTAGAGAGACAATTAAAACTTAAAGATACGCGGTTCGCATTATCCAATATATTAATTAATCATAATTATTGCAATTGGTAAGATGGTTGAATAACATGGTTGTACCAGGTATCTTTAGCATGTAGAACCAACACTAACATTTCCGTACAAGACGACTCAATATAAAACAGATACATAAAGTTCTCTAGAACAAATTCTATTATTATGTCAGTATGAGCACACTTCTATTTCACAGAATTGAAGTAAGTTCGACCTTAGGTGGATCATCCAGATGGTTGGATTCACTAACATCTGAGAATCAGTCAACACAATAACTAATTTGTCGTCAACCACAACCTATACAATCAAAGTAAGCAATACAGGTTCAATATATCGGTGACACCATCGTTTCTTATTTGTGATTACTTTTTTGTATTTTAAAAATTGGCAAGGTCACACCTCACCTTGTGTGTTCTAATTGTGACAAGAGATCTAAATTTTTGGGACATTGAAACCTACCTGAGTATTCTGTACAATTGTATATTGCGTTATTATATTGTATTCATGTCAATTATTTATACAGGTAACTGCATGTGTAACAAAAGAATATTGCACAACCAATTATTCTACCACCCAAAAGGCAAGAACAGATGGAGCAACGTTATCTGTTGAATCGCCATCTATTATACAGTACAAGAATACACAAACTTGCGTCATCTCTTGGACCTTATCTAACAATATGGAGACTGGTGATTCATATACCGTGGTATGTCAATATTTCAATTGTCGATACAAATTATTCGAAGCACATGTTCTTCGACAACTTAGCTGAAGATATATAACTTGAATAAAGATTTTATACGCGTTTTGAAAAGTGCACACTGAGCCGTGATGTTTGACTGATTATACAGACAATCTGTCACTAACGTGCGTCTAGCCACGTACCACTGTCTACTGATATTAATGGCAGATATTTTATATTTAATTCATATTCAATTCAACTCGAAGTTTTTGTCTTTTTGCGCTAACTTCAACATCTTATCTATCACTAATTTTTAACGGCTTTTTCAATGAAAAATTCTAGATTTCGATGCGATGACACTAATATTTCTGAAACAAATTTTTATCTGATGATTTATAGAAACTGAATCTAACTTCAACTCCAGTTTCTTCGCAAGATGCAAACTCGGAGATAGAGACGAAGCTCATGAACGTGACGTCATCATCCGTGTATCCATTTCAACCAGAACCAGATCGTGACTATTCTGCTTCGATCAAAATACTCAATTGCGTTTGGTCTCTCAAAGGTTCTTGTGTAGGAAATCCAAAAGGTATAAATTGAATTCAATTATTATATTTCCAAGTATTTTGATTTGTTCTACTTAACTGGGTGTAATCATTGAGAAATTCACTCACTACTATGGGAATTCATGGAGAGTGGTTGTCCGCATTATCTTATTTAAATGTATATTTTTTGGAAATTGATTTTCAATCCTTGTTGTGAAAATACCTTTATAATGAATTTCTTTTTTGTTATCAATGGGCCAATATTAGAGAACCGTATGTACTATATTGATGTATGATTTTCGGCTCAAACTTGAATCAGTATTAAGTTTCAGGAAATAATTCAAGGGAAATAGTAATTAGATACTAATTATGTTCCGAGAATTATATAAGATTCCAATCCAAACTTTATGACAGTGAATTATGATTTTTGCAGACACTTTACTTCAAAAAATGAAAAAAGTTTGGGAATCATTTACTGAAAATATATATTGTTTAGAAAATTATTCTTTCGATTAAGGAATAATTGTTCATGGCAAACTATTCGGTTTTTAAAATGAAAATATTGTCAATTTTGTTAAAACTTTCAATATTTTTAAAAATTTCTAATATTTAAGTTTTGTTTAGCCTATATAATTTTTTAGAAAAGAAATCGTTCGAGTTTGAACATCGACAGTTTTGTGATCGGTTTTCTAATTCCTTTGATATTCTACGTAGTCTTTGGCTTAATCATATACAAATTGATGGAAAAGATAAAGAAGTTGAAGAAAAATGCAGAAGAGAAAGAACATAATTACGAAACCATACAAGAAAAAGGTAGTGAGATCCGAAAATCACCATTTCACGTAAAATACATTATTATTGATCAGCCACCGGAAAATTCTGAAATATAAGTAAATACATATGACATTCACCATCTCTCCTTTCATCACCAATGCAAAAATATTTAAACAGAAATATAAGAAAATTCGCCTAAGTAAAATATGTATGTCTTCTCCGGTATCATTCTCATCTCAAATTTCTAAAATAAGACAAATATGTTACTAGTCTTTTTGTATCGTTTAGTCATTATACAAACGTTTACTCTTCCTTATTGTGTAATTCGCTCTTGAGTGACGACAATGAAAAATCAGAAATGATTTGGATTTGGGTTGCATTGTTCGCCACTTCTTCGTCGATATTTTTAAGATTTTAATATTTCTCCTATAGTCGTTAATTGAACTTTTTTTTAATTAATCAGCAAGTCCTTTCAACGACCCAGTTTCTCAACCATCATATTCGAACGTGCTAAAAGAAACTGCCGGTTACGAACAAGCTCTTCCTGCGTCAACTAAGAAAACACAAGTGGAGTCAGCTTACGAACAGCCATCATCTTCAAATGTGCTGCAAGAAGCTGCCGGTTACGAACAAGCTCTTCCTGCGCCAGCTAAGCAAACACAAGTGGAGTCAGCTTACGAACAACCATCATCTTCAAATGTGCTGCCGAAAGCTGCCGGTTACGAACAAGCTCTACCTGCGACAACTATGAAAACACGAGTGGAAACAGCTTACGAAACTTAGAACGCCTGATGAACTTTAGCTTAGCAGTGGCTATTAGCATATTACAAAATGTAAAAAATTTGAAACATGTTTTTTTATTTGATGAAACACTCCGTAAACGTGCAACATACAATGTCGCGTTGCTGTTGAAGTAATCTGCCATGCCGCTGTCCATGGTCCCACATCCAGACATCTTTACATTACAACCGGATCAACGAAATTATCAGTCACCATTAACTTTCTCCCTCAGAGTGTAATCAGCTCTGTAGGTCATGTCGTAAACATGTATTGGATCAACTAAAGAATCTCCCAAGGGTACCGAAATGAAGAATCTCCACCCCAAGTTAGATCAGCTGAAGAATCTCCACCCAACTAAGACCAACTAAAGAATCCCCCCGAAAGCCGGCTCCGCCGGTGGAGGACATTCTTCAGTTGATCCCATGTATTTTACATGCATTCCTATAAACGACTTGTGAGTTAGGTTAAGTTAGTGCATTCTATTACAACGCAACTAATCAGGAAGCTCATTTTGTCTTGCTCGTTATATTTTCCAGCAGGGCAACTGATACGCACATTCTATAATGTATGAAAGGTTTATCGTGGTTTCATTTCCAAGAATGAAAAAGTCTTCTTTAAAAGTTGACTAAAATAGACCATTATTCTCATAGTAATCCGATTACAGGTCTAAAATGCCGGTCATGGGTTTTACGTTGGTATGTGATGTGTCTGGCTGTAATTTTACAAATCGTCACTAGTTGACGCCAGATTCTCAATTAACCAAGTCCTGCAAATGCTTTAATGAAGACCATGTAATGTTTTTGTTTCGTTTTTAATTAGTTTTTGGTGTCTTCGAATCGATGACGAAACAATCAGTCCTTCATAACTATCTATATTTTTATTGTATTTTTACCGAAAAATAATATTTCACATTACTGCGGAACTGTTGATTATTCTTTATTAATATTTTTAAATGTTGCTTCTTTATGTGTACAGATTTAATTAAGTATAATAATCTTATAAACACGAGCAAAATTTAACATCTCTTGAACATCCAGCACCCTACCCTGTAATCTAATGTCTAGTAAATATAAGAAACATTTTTGTGTTTGGAGAATACTTGAATTTGAAACACATACAACATATACGTTTTAAAGATGTTTAAATAGAGCAATGAGTTAAAATGATCGCAAATGCAGATTTGGGTGAGTCGGTAATTCCAAATTTTTGGGAAGCTGGCCATGTTCATTAGAATATAAAATGACTGAACGAGTGAATAATGAGCCAAAGCTCGTTTTGCAAACTTTCCTTTACTAAATTTTTTTTTATTTCTTTATTTAAAAATTAATCATCAATCGATTAAAAAGTCTCTTCCATTTAGAATTTAGATGTATAAATATATGTATGTGAAATATTTTTTACTGTCTACTGCAATCGGGAATCCTGTGATTTGCAAAAACATTTGCCGGTATTAGAGTCAAATTTTAAATTTTTTGGCGTTAAAACTCAAGTCATCCAATTCTTAAAAAAATATGGAAATTTGCCTCGAATAAATTAATAATTGTAGACTTTGAATGTTGTTGATACGGTCGAAACGGGAGCGAGCGGGCCTTAAGTTGAAAAATTCAACTTTACACCTTAGAATATGTTTTTTTTGGGTCCACACTATAGTCAATACCAAAATGCTGTAGAACCGACATTTTTCTATTGTTCTACCATTTTTTATTATAAAATGAAAACGAGTGTTTCCAATTCGAATCAGCCTTCTTCCACCCATCTACGTATTTTCCTCACTTTTCAATTTAGTATTTACCGAAACCTACGGCACATTATTCAGCTAGATCACTTTGGATTGCCAAAGGCTGATAAATGTCCCAATCAAGATGTAGGAAACATTTTGAAACCATGAACGATTCTCTGAAAAGGTGTGACAAGTCGATACTGCATCAGTTAATGCAAACGATGTATAAAGTTGTTGTCTAATAGCTCTCTTGAGAAATATCGTTTCCTCGATAGATTTCAATTTGGAGTTCAATTACGCGCAATAAAGCAAATTGGTCTGGAGGTTAGTTCATTGCTACGTTCCTCATATTGAATGTGGTATATTTTTAAAACGGAACTACAGCGAGCGGTTTAATAAAGATTCGAACGATATGTTCCAACATTCTTTTAATTAAACCCCTAGCAGGGAGGAATTACTAAGATTACAATAATGCAAACTTTTTAAAGCGTGACAAAAAAATAATGTGAAATTAATATAATTGTGGTTGTGAGACGTTACATTGTGGAATTATTGTATCCTGATTTGTTATCGAACATCTCGAAGATCTGCGTGATGGAGGGCATGGTGGGTATGTAGAGATTAGATCTCAATTGCAGTAAATTTGGGGGGTTGATGCTATAACGACACACTGATGAAAGGCAGAGAAAAACACTTTCTACTTGAATAGGTAATTTGAGAGAGAGAGATTTATTGATTCGTCAACCAAAACAAATATAAATATGAAAGCATAAATACAAATAAATAAACACTGTTTATGGTAAAGACTGGAGGGAGCGATACGACCATACGGTCATTCAAGTCAGCTCCCCCCATATTCACTGTTATGCATAAGATTCACAGTTATTGGATGACTATGTGTGTAACAGCTAATTATAGGGTATTATACATTTAAATAATTGTAAAAAGCACAATTACAAGGGGCTATTGATTTAAGTTAGTTATCACGCTCATATGATCATTGATCCATGCATATTAAGAAAAAATTACTAGGGGTCTGGAAAATTACTAATATGAAGAACGAATTGTGATAGTTATACCCAATGAGCGTATTTGGATAATTATTATGGTAAATGAAAAGGAATATAAATGAAAAAAATAAAAAATTCAATAAAAAATTAATATATTGGATTTACGAAGATAGGATTAACTTTGGTTTATGAAAGACAATTAAAGCACAATGTGAATATGAAGATCAATTTCAATGACTACTGAAATGGATTTTTCAAAGTACAAGAAGGGGGTTTGTAATCAATTATCTATATAACTAATATCAATAATAAACCAAATCGGGGTCTGTAGAGATCTAAGTTCTAGTGTCTACAGGGGGTGTACTGTGGAACGGGTGCTACCATTTAAAAGTTCAAAGTTGGGTCATACAAGAAAGGAGGATAATATATATGTAATCGAATATTACAACATTATAAAGAATATCCACATAACTGATTTAGTTGATTATATTTTTGCAATATTAGACCAGCAGAATTATTTAGTTGACAACTTTTGAGTTGTTGCATTAATATTCAGGCAAGAATAAACTACATCATATACAACTAATTTCAAAACAAGTTATTCAGTTGACATCTTCTGAAAAACTAATTCAGAGGATACAAGCTCAAAGTGCGATCATACATGAAATGAGAGTTATATACAGTATATATATTCAAATATTACAATATTATGCAGACTATCAGCAGAAATGATTTGATTGAATTTTTTTCCTGCAATGTAGGACCATCCGAAATACTCTTGTGGCAGATTTACAAATTGGTAAATTAATATTTGATCATGATTTCAATACAAGGATAACCACTAGTTACAATACTGATTATATTATTTAAAGTTCCGATCTTGCAGATTGATAATTGCCCAAGTTTGAGGTAAATCATAGCAACGCACCACCATGAGTATACCGATAACCACAACCAAAAGTATGTCAAAATGTACTCCGGACCTAAGAGAAAAAAAGTAGATGGTTTTCATTACATCTACTAGACAAGGATGCTAGGAACAATCACAATGCTGTGTTTGCTTAACAAATATAAAGTCAATGCTTCCTCTTGAAAACGTGTTATTGTATGAGATATAACTGATTCATGCACACACAATCCATTGTGACTAAGTAACGGTTATTGTAAGTTTCCGTGCGCTTAGAAGTCTTTTGGTAAGTTGGGAAGTGATAGACTGACGCAGTGAACCACCTCAGTTTCGAGAAATGTTAATACTGTAATAATAGTACCAGTTTGTATTTGTGGAATTGTTCGAAAATGTGAATGATAAAACTTACGCACAAGTTGTGTAGTCAATACACAGTATGAAACTATTCTCGTGAACACGTGTTCCAATGCTTTCGCTTCAAATCAGGCACATGCCCTGCTGTTTGTAATTTATCATAAAGAAGCCTCATGGATATTTTCCTCATGTAGAAATATATTGAAAAAAAATTTAGTCTTAGGCTAACAACTATCTATGATCAACATAAAACGGAATATAAAAAAGGGGCGCATTTATGTAGTTGGGTAACTGGTGAAAAGGCCTATCTTGCTTCACAAAAGTTTGATTCAGTCGTCGTTCTTCGCCTCTATTCATAAAATTGCATCAACAATTGGAACTGTGATGTTTATCAAGTCCATGTACTTGAGATGTTTGATATATATATATATTATAATAGTTATATTTTTATTTTTCATAGTCGCATTAAATAAATTATATTCCTTTCATTGCAGTTATGCTAATTTAAACCCGAAACGACCTAATCAGAGTTAAAATTAGGGTGTTATATTCAAATTGACCACAAATGTCAAAAACTGTGTCATTCGAATAATAAAGATGAATCTTACAATTTTGGCGATATCGTTTTCGATCATCATCACAAGTGCTTTAGCTCAAGGTTAGTTGAATATTGTATTAATGAAAACATTTTCTTTTAACCCTCTCAAACATTTTGTTCATTAATAAGTATTTCTCTCGAAAAAATACAAATGTTTTTTTGTACTAAATGAAAAAACACCTCAGGTTTTAAGTACTGTATACTAATTCAATCCATTATTTCAATTTTTTATTTTGTCAAATTCTATGTTAATAAATGAGAATTGTTATTTAATTGATTGTTCAATTTTGAATCTGATTACAATTCCAGATACCGTTGTGTTTCAGATCCTTGGAAGAAAGAATGTGTTGATGGGTTTGAACTGATTTTTTACAAACAACCTAAATCTTATAGCAGCGCAAAGTCTTCCTGTGA